AGATCTGAAAAAAAAATACACATAACGTCAGGTGTTCTTTATTTGCTATGGTATTAATCTTGATGCTTACAATTATCATGATTATACGTGTTGGAATAATGACACATATAAACATGTTTTAATAAGAAATCATCTATTAAATTATACACACATCGGAATCAATATTGGCAGTGGTTCATTAACATTTCTGGAGAAAACAAAGACTTTCCATGTAGTTCGTTAACAGTCTATGAACCCTTCTTTATTGATTTAAGATGGCCGTTATATAATACAAGAGTTATGTGAAAATTGTACGCTGCTATAGCATATCAGAATCTAGCATATAATAAACGTTTGTATAATGCTACTTATCACTAAAATTCGTTTCCTTGTTTTGCTTTCTCAAACTTCAGGATTACAAGGGCCTTCAGTTTCATAATCAGTCGTTACCAGGGGTTGTGATTCCCGGGGGAGGAGGGGGAAGGGGGAGGGGGTACGATCCCTTTAGCACTTTTAAGATTGGCAAGTTAGTGAGGAATACCTGAAAGACAGTGCGTCCCAGAATAAAACGAAACCGAGAATTGTCGATGTTTATCATAATTTCATCACAATTGTAATTAATAAATGACACATATTTGTAAATCCTCCTCATTCAGTTGATGCAACTCATATGATGCATATTTCATGAGTGATTAAAAACAATTTGAAGAGAGGGTACCAAAAAGTAATTTTTAGGGCGATATCTGAATTTCAAAAAGAAAATCACATTTCTAGAAACTTTATTTTCTGCCCTTTCATATGACACCTCAATCAGGAAAAATGAGCCAGGAATAACAAAGTTCTGTTTTTTAAAAGTAACACTTGCATTTCCATAATGTTATTAAACGAATTCATTTTCACTGGCTGCCTGCCATAGCAACAAACAGAGTTGACAAAAGACTTAACTCCGTTTCTTTGACGATTAGCCATGCGCAATACTCTCTTAATTTCTAGGACTTAAATTTTAAATCCATTTTGAGACTTAAAATATTTCAAGTCTTTAAGACTTAATAAATTGGGAATTCGACTAAAAGTTTTATCGAAACCAGCTTCTAGATATAAATCTTGGAAAGACTTAAACTTCTCGCCAATAAGATGTGCATATTTCCAGTTGCACCTGTTGATGACTGACTGTTGGCATATTTCCAGTTGAACCAGCTGACACCAATTAATTTGCATATTGAATATGGGGTGCGTGCAGATCTATGTTTTTTTAACAATTTTTCTGAATTTACAGCATATTTCTTAATTACTGATGATTTAGGTATATGCCATTCATTTCGAAAATACTACAAATATAAATTACAAGTTATTAGGACATTTCGCTACTTCGTATGAATTCCATTTAATTAAACATGAATAAGGGAAACATTAACTATGAACTAAAATAATTTCAATAAAATACAAGTATATGAAGAAAAAAATTCGATTAATTAAATTATGTATACGTCTACTTATTACCGATGCCTTTACATTGATAATACAGACGTACCAGTATTGAAGTGTTGTTGCCGTTCAATTGGTTGGAAGTTTTACCAAATGGTTCTAATGGCTTAGCTAGACCAGTAAATCTAAAAGACTTGAAATATAAATACAATTGACTTAAACTTTAAATCTGTCAGGGACTTAAAATTTTAAGTCTTAGCTTAGATTTATTTTTGAAATGAATCCAAGAAAGGTTTAAAATAAATATTAAAAGACTTGAAATATAAATCCAATTGACTTAAATTTTAAACCTTTTCAGGGACTTAAAATTTCAAGTCTTAGCTTAGACTTATTTTAAATCCCAAAGGGTTCGTCACTAATATCAGTCTCTGTTAGATTTAAAAGTAAGACTTTAAGATTTAAAAATAAGACTTTCAAATTTAGAGAGTAAAGACAGAAATACTTGATGCATGACTGATCGTCAACGAAACGGAGTTAAGTCTTTTGTCAACTCTGTTTGTTGCTGAAAACGAATTCGTTTAATCAAATTAGATCACCATATAGTACAGAGTAAGTCACAAAATATGACATTTTGATAATAATTGCCTAATGTTTGAAGAGTGAATTGTAAAATTGTAGAGTAATATATGTAGGCCTACAGTAGGTGAGTAGTAGTGAGCACTATTCTTTTTTTCTTTTTTTTTGGCCCTCAAAAATTTGAAAAATCGCACCCCCCCCTCCCCCTTGAGCGCCAGGGGGGGGGGGGGGGGTTCATCTCCACAAAAAAGGTAAATTAACGTTTTTTTTTTACACATTTGTTTTTCCAGGGGGAGCGGATTCGCCACTGGGCAGGAGCGCTACAATATTAGCATTATGATTGTTATTATTATTAGTATTATTATAATTACTATTACTATTATTTGTATTTTTTTTTTATTTTTTATTTTTTATTTATTAACATTTATTTCCTTCTCAACAGCATAATATAAAACACAATGTATATATATACATGACATATGTAACAATTATTTCAACATAGAGTATACAGTAATTAATTCAGATACGGAAGGAGGCGAAAACCCGGAAAGCGTAGCTTGAGTTGGGAACGCCCATAATAAATTAACACAGTTTCCGAAAGAACATTATAGATATTATTATGAAAATTACATTGTATATAACAGAACGTTGATAGGAAAGAAAAAAATAGTGAAAGGAAGAGAGGAGAGAATTAAGTATAGGAAGGCATGTTCACTTATAAAGAGAAATTTACATCAATTGGGCTGTACATGTGTGTCTGCGATTACATCATAAAGATAACGAAGTACAATTGTAAAATAGACAGCGGGTACATATCATTACAAACAAGCAAAATCATCAAACAGACAACAGCTTTATCCGACAGCATTGTCCTGGGAATATACAGATGGTACTAGCAACAAGTTATCAAAGTAGATAAATAATCGGTCATACAAACATGTCATTAAATTCAACAAAAGATCATTTCACACATAAATACAAGAGAGGGTATCAATATCGAGCAATTGAATACATTTTTGCCTTACCGGAAAAAGTCTGCAAGGAGAGCGATTTGTGTAGAATAGATGGTAAGGTGTTCCAAAATTTTCGCCCAGAGTATCGAATGTCAAATTGAAATCTTCGGGTTCTATGTTTAGGGAGACGAATGTTGGCAGCGCTTCTCGTATTATACGTATGGGTTTCCGAGTTGCATTTAAAATTGATAAAATCACTTAATTGTGATGGGAAGATGTTATTCATGCTTTTATACATAAAAATACCCTGTTGGTGCAAGTTAATATCACTGAATCTCAAGAAAATAATTTGTTTAAAGATGGTCCAGTATGGGAACGATAGTGCATTCCGGATATTATACGAATAATCTTCTTCTGCAATAGTATAAGCTTTTGTATTTTGTACTTGCAGGAATTCGCCCAAACAAGATTACAGTAAGAAAAATATGGAAGTATAAGAGCACAATATAACATACGTAGAATGTGATTGGGCAAGAGATGTTTGAGTCTGGATATAATGCCAATGTTTTTGGACACCTTACTTTCAACTTCGTGAATATGGTATTTCCAAGACAAGGAACTATCTAAATAGACGCCAAGAAATTTGACTTTATCTACCCTTGGCAATATGACATTATCAAGAACAATATTGAAATCATTTAAATCTACACTCTTTCCATTGTGAAAAATCATATAATTACATTTCTTTACATTTATAGATAATTTATTAGATTTGAACCATTCACATATTATGTAAGACCTGCATTTACTGCATCCATAAGAGACTTCAAGTTTGAATCTCTGTGAAATATGTTTGTGTCGTCTGCATACAGTATAAAAGACAATTCATCAGCAGATTTATAAATATCATTCACATATAATACAAATAACAATCATTATTATTTTTATTTTTTTCCCTCATTTTTAAATGATCTGCTGCTTAGCCGAAAATTAGAAACTGTTGCAAACACTGACGTTAATTTAAACAGAGGAAGTACTCCTCCTCTTTTATGCATTATTTATATAGAATTCATAGATGCTTTGCTAATGATTTTAAATACTTTGTTAAATGATTTTCTCGTCTAGCAAGTTCACTTTCAACATTTTTCCTTTTTACTTTTCCTTTCTTGTTTTTATACTCAAAGCTACCTGCTTTATCGACGCTACCTGCTTTTTAGAACGAAGCGATTATGTAAAAAGTAAAATCAAAAAGAGATGAAAAACAGAAACCGCAATCAATTTGAGCTGAATAGAAGAGAAAATAGGTTTTTTGTGTATAACCTTATGCCTACACCTGTATTAGTGTCTTATTTGAAGTTTTGATCGTATAGACCTATATATCTTATTTAGGCCTCTTTTAATTAAAAAAAAAAAAATAATGATTGAAACAATTTAACATTATTTATTTGACCAATCGAAAAACATATCTTAATACATACACACAACTTTAGGGAAGTGGAGAGGAGAGAGAGAGAGAAGGATACATGAAATCTGCTGGGGAAAAGAAAAAAAGCAATTAAAACTTGCTATATCATTACTCGAAAGCATGTCACCCCCCAATGATTATAGTAGTTAAAAGTCATGCGCTATATAAATAATTTCATGAACTAACTCATATAAACTAATAAAGCCCACAAGTGTTTTGCTTATGCAGTTGTCTTTCTCCTAATAAATAAATAAACCCTCTAAACATACAGGTACACGACGCCCCCTTGTCTATGCCAGAGTGACCTAGGTTGAGTTTATCAACCGAGAAGCGTACGGCGTAACATAACTCGCTGGGCTGGTAAGAAGGCATCATAGAAAGGACAGGGCCAGCGTGAGTTGGAACTGTGTGCGGATCGTGGTTTAATTTGAAATAATTTTTTGTTTTTATTTTTTTGTAGACTATGACTAATATTATATTAAAATTAGATTGGAAAAAGAAAGAAAGAAATAATAATTTTACCAAGACATTAAAAGAAAGAGATGCGATGAAATTGGCAACAATAGTCAAATTTGACTAATAGCCATTATAATACCAAACGAACAACAACAACAACTGCATGATGTTCATGAAAATTACCTCTAGATCTGAATAATATCAATTTCTTGCTGAATTTTAGATTTTGGTATCGAATCATCAACTTTATACTAGTGGTGAGTAGGTTAGCTGCAATATTTGATAGCACAAACGTAATCTAGCCCACTAATGGAAAGGAGAACTAAGCCAACGTTTTCAATTCTGTCCCACATATTTTAATTGGTGTTTGTGAATTGTCGCTGTCTATGATTATGTTGCTTTATAATTAGGTAACTTGATGGTCGCTGATGTGTTGGCAACGCAATGAATGTTGTTGTTGTTGTTGTGTTTTGAGTTAATGGCGATTAGTCAGTGATTTGACTATTGTCGCCAAATTACTTTACGGCACCTGTTGTATCTCTCAATTTTGGATTAAAAAAAAAAAAATATTTATTTCGTTTTATATTTATATATCTTTTAAGATAGTATCGTAAAATAATATCGTAAGCAAAACATTCATGGGCTTTGTTAGTGTTTCTTAACAGTACGTGCAGATTTGTGAAGTATGAAAGGGTGTGTAATTGAGATAATAAAAAAACAAAAACACTACAAATAAGCTAAGTATATGTCGACGAGGGTCTAGACCCTAGAGGAAGATGGGAATCAAGTACCTCGCATTTGTGTTTGTGAGTTAGGGTTGTGATTAGGTTATCCTCATTGAATAATCTCATCGAGGCACTTCAGCATGTGCGATGTTTCTTAAGATTATTAACTTTTACCTGTTCGCAATTTCTTTCATTTTTGTCTTAGATGGCGTGTTTACCAAGTGGGCTCACAAGGCTTCTAGCAGGGAAGAACATAGCAAGAATAACTAGGAGATGTCTTTCTTCAACCAATTACGATGGGTTCAAGGTCCGCCAGCTCCACGGAAAGGAATCTGCAAGCCTTGCCAACAGTCAGACTGCAGAGGGCAGCAGACTCACAAACGAGGACTTGAAAGTCTTTCACAGTGTCGACCCCAACGGCTTCTTCGTTGCCCTGGACAATGCTGGGGACATCGTCGGGACGATAGGTGCAGTGAGGTGGACAGAGAAGCTGGGGTTTATAGGTTTCTGCCATGCGGGTGAGGAAGCCAAAGACAGGGGGGTAGAGGAGGCCCTCTGGCTGGCAGCCATGGAGCACCTAGGGGACAGGAACATTGGCATCGAGGTCGACGCCTCTGAAGCGGAGAAGTGCGGCCAGCTTGGTTTTCAAGAGGAATGGAGATCTGGATGTTATAAAGGTATTATACCTGCGGCATGGCAAAATGTAGTTGCATGAAAATATGCATCAGGAACTCAACAAGCATAAGGTCTTTAAAAAAAGATGTTGTATTGCCCTTTGTGACCGACCCGAAAATCTTGAAATCTACAAACGGCTTAATTTTTTTTTTTTTTTTAACTGTTTTTTGGAGAGAAGAAAATGTATTAAAGCATTCGAAACTGAGAAATATCAGCCGAAACAGGGAGTAAAAAAAAAATTAAAAAAAGATTTCCGACTGACCCATGTTTTGGCACCTAAAGGGTAATACAACATCTTTTTTTTTTTTAGGCCTAAGCATTGGTTGTCATCATGATATCAGACTCGCATTTATCAGTGAATTTAAAGTAGTCATTTGATATAGCTGAATTATGGAGGATGGTACATGTCAAAACTTTGGTCTTTGTTGGAAGTAGTGGATGTTTCACTTCTTTCATAAAAGGATGTCTTCTACAGTGTGCTTTGTAAATCAAGTCCTCACGTAAAATCATCACTGCTCTGTTTGCAAGATGATATCTTCTTTTTCTTTCTTCACTTTTTCAATTCTTCTTCTTTGTTTGCAGGAGTGGGTGTGTCACTCTTACCCGAAGCGCAATCAACCAAGATCGTGAGACGGATCACGGACATGCCGTTCAGCAAGGTGGCGTACTTTGACGAAGACCTCTTCGATTTCCAGAGGATGAAGTTCCTGTATCGTTGGGCGAACATAGAGCCCCCTGCCGGCCACGCCTACGCCCTCAGTGAAGGTAAGTTCACCTTGGGGGCGTTTCACAAAACTTATCATCAGTGACAAATGACAGTTTTTGTTATAAGCTACTGAAATCCTTGCTTCTGATTGGTTATCAGCAGATATGTCACTGATTTTTGACATTTGTCATTGAAAAAAGGCTTTGTGAAACAGGTCCCTTTTGTCTGTGGTATTCGGGTGGTTCCTATATTTAGCCTAGAGGGAGGAGTGGGTCAATGGATTAGAATTAAAATGGATACAGATCCAGGCCTGATAATTTCCTGATTTTTCCCTGATTTTCTTTTCTTCTTTTTTTCTTCTCCCGATTTTACCCCTATTTTTCCCTTATTTTCCCTAGTTTTCCAGATTTTTTCCAAATGTTCTTTTTAATACTCAAAAGGGGGAGAATGTTGTTGGATGCCATTTTTCCCCCCAAAATCCCCCTCAAAATGCACTAGGTAACATGGAAATCAATTAAATCATAATTTGGTCATGTCCCTTTAATACCTCACAGATGAAAAGGTCATGGGTTACGGAGTCCTGCGACAGTTGAACCTATCCAAGAAGTACCGCATCGCACCACTCTACTGCCAGCACACCGCGGTAGCGCAGGTTCTCCTCCTTGCCCTCTTAAACAACATCCCGGAGCAAACGGTTTACATCGACTCTCCCTTCTCCAACCCGTCTTTCACGAGGATACTGACCACGGACTTGAAGATGGAGCAGATCGGGGAGAGGGTTCGGATGTACACCAAAGGTGATCCCGGAATGCCCCTGCAGAAGATGTTTGGAACCATGGGAAGCGACCTCGGGTCATGATATTCGTCAATTTTGTCAAGACTGGTCATGATTTCAAAGCAAAACAAAAGATGATGTTGTGAGTTATACAGGCAGCAGAATATATGCTGCTTGAACTTAAGAAATCTGGATGAAGGGAGAGTGTGATTATATAAGGTACCAAAGGCGACCCTTGCATGACCCTTCAGAAGATGTTTGGAACCATGGGAAGCGACCTCGGGTCATGATATTCATCCTTTTTTTGGTTTGACTATTGTCTCATGATTTCAAAACAAAACAAAAAATAATGTTGTGGGATATACATGCAGTAGAATATATGCTGCTTAAACTTCAGAAATCTGGATGAAGGGAGAGTTTGGATATATACCAAAGGTAACCCCGGTATGCCCCTTCAGAAGATGTTTGGAACTATTGGGAGCGACCTCGGGTCATGATATTCATTCGTTTTTGTCAAGACTGTTACCTCATGATTTCAAAGCAAAAACAAAAAATGATGTTGTGAGATATACCGGTACATGCAGTAGAATATATGCTGCATGAACTTTAGAAATCTGGATGAAGGGAGAGTATGGATATATAAGGTACCAAAGGCGACCCTTGCATGCCCCTTCAGAAGATGTTTGGAACCATGGGAAGCGACCTCGGGTCATGATATTCATCCTTTTTTTGGTTTGACTCTTGTCTCATGATTTCAAAACAAAACAAAAAATAATGTTGTGGGATATACATGCAGTAGAATATATGCTGCTTGAACTTCAGAAATCTGGATGAAGGGAGAGTTTGGATATATACCAAAGGTAACCCCGGTATGCCCCTTCAGAAGATGTTTGGAACTATTGGGAGCGACCTCGGGTCATGATATTCATTATTTTTTGTCAAGACTGGTCGTGATTTCAAAGCAAAAAGATAATGTTACAAGATATACATGCACACGCAGTAGAATATATGCTGCTTGAACTTAAGAAATCTGGATGGAGGGGGAGTTTGGATGTACAGGTGTATACCCAAAGGTGACCCCAACATGACCCTGCAAAATATGTTCGGGTCGTGAGACACATCTCAATTCTAGTGTCCCAACTGGTGCTTCTTGATTTGAAAGCAAATTTATTTTACGAGATGTTTTACTTGCCAGTAGAACATGCTATGGATAAAGAAAATTGAGGAGAGGGTGCCAGTTATGACCAAAGGGGACCTGGCGTGCCTCTTTAGAAGATGAAGCGAAAAATAACATTAGGCAGCGTACATGCTGCTTGAGTGTTTATGTGGATGGTTGACATTATGGAGAGGGTGCTAATTATTCAGCTGAGGGGACCATGGAAGACCCATTCTGATGGAAATGGCCAAAGTGGTCAGAACTGTGTAAATTCATTCAATGGGATTGATTATTCTGATATCAGCGCACAGTTTCGTATTGAATTTGGATGTCTGACTGGATGTCCGACTGAATATATGGCCTAATTTTGAACAAATATCAATACAAATGGTCATTTTGGGCCCAAAAGTGACTAGAATTACCATATTGTTGTTGACCAATTGGACTACTTTTTATAGCACCAGGGCACATTTTAACATAGAATATACCCATCAAATCTCCTTTGCTAATAATAATGATTGGAAAAATTTCCCCTGAGATAACGTGTCCAAATTGGTCAGTTTTGACCTAAAAGCGGTCGAAGTGACCAAATTGTCATAAGCAATGTCAATAAAGACTGATATTATTTTGAATCGGCGCAAAATTTTACCCCGGATAAGTTATTTATCCCTTCTCCAGTGTAAAGTCTGATTAAATCCCTTTATATCCTAGTGTATATATAACACTGCCACTGCTGATATTTTTGTCACCTTTTTCCGTAATACATCATCACACCATATTATTTGCTACATTCATGAAACACTAATCTCCATCAGAAAGCTTATGCTTGTCAATGAAAATGCATTTGGAGAGTGTTTGACTCTTTATGAGAATTATCTGGTCTTTCACATGTACAGTATGACTACATGTATGTGCCTTACAAAATATTCAGGAGTGAGAAAAGATTGAATAGTAAAAATGTCATAGATATTGTAATTGATTGTGAATATTTCAGGCCAAAGTATCGTGTTGCATGTAACAAATAATTACATTAATCATGAACCTCCATCATCTGCTGACTAGTTTCAGAAACTTCTGACGTCCCATTTATTTTGTTAGAGGACATTGGATTGCAATGACCCATGGATTTATGTGTGCTTTTATCAAGCATTACCAGCTGTAATTGTAAAGCATAAAGCTAGGTGTATTGAGTCAATTCATGTAATGACAAAATGATGTGGAATACATAACGAAATAGAGTGTAATAAATAAAGATTTTATTATAAAAACAAAACATGTTATGTTCACATTTTTCATTGTTTGTTAAAGGTATTACAAAGTTTTGGTATGGGGTGATGAATTTGGTTCAAATTAACATATTGGAAGCATATGCGTTCTTACAATATTCATTGATCGTTGTCGCGGTTGAAATCGAGTCTAAAGTTATGAAATTATAAATAATAACCTCTTTACGTTGTATAGCTCCCTCTCAAGGTCAAGATATTAATTTAGCTAAGAAACAATGATTCTTGACTAAAATTGACCGATTAGCTATTCCCGTTTGGAAATTATATATCACAACTACATATTCTGAGATTGTCATGGTCGCAGCTACCATTGTACGGCCATAGGCGCTATTTGATATTTATTAAAATTTACCGGGAGCACCGGTAAATTTGTATATTCAATTTTTCTCGAAATCAGAAGTGTTTTAGGGGCTAGTTTTTTTAGTGCTTATAATACATCAACAGGGGCATCCAAATATATCAAAATTGTAAAGATTCACTATCCACCCAATTTTCAAAATTTCCCAAAACTTTGTATTACCTTTAATATTCTCCTTGATGTTTTCTTGTACACCTTAATTTAACTATATACTGACAAAATAATGAGTTATTAAACATTTGATTGGTAAATCTTATTATTACAAAAACTGACATAATCAATACAAAATACATGACCCAAAAGAAATATTGAATGAGTTGATAGGTTTTTTTTTTTTAATTATTGTTAATATTCACATTTTCTTCTTTAACTTATATATTTCTAGCACTTTCTTTCTAGAGAAATCTGTTTTTCCTCACAATATGACCCGTCTTGGAAGTCTCCTTTTGGGTAAAATTGTCATTCTTTCACCTTTCAAAAGGAAGAAACTATGTGCTACAGAACATGTGTTGAATGATAATCTATTAATGAATCTATAAAAATCTTCAAATATACACATGATCATACACCTGACAAAAAAATGTAATATTCAGATAAGATGGCAAGCAACAATCTCTGAATATCTCCATTGTTTCACTTCTTCTTTCGATTTTTCCTATAGCTCAGTTTCTTTATGCTACGATTTTGACCTCGTTTATTAGTTATTGCTATATTTCAGCATCAGCCATAGCAAAAAAAATAGGCATTGGAAGCATACCGCATGAATTAGTCCATCACTAATAAGTTCCATTTACACATGACATACAAAGTAATTTTTAGTTATGTCCAATGATTGACAAAAGGTGTAAATCATATCGTAAATATACACATAAATATATATCTTTAACCCTTCACCCAAAGTGGATAATATCCTGGTGCAATTATGAGGAAATCGGGGTTATAACTTTGTTTAGAAATCAGGGTTGTACCTAAACCATAACATAGAGACCAACACCAGACCGTCAGCACAGCGAAAGGGATTACATTTCTCCTAATGACTGAGAATTGGTTGGTTTGGAAATCGGTTTAGAATTGATTTAGTGGTGTTACTGAGGTTTCACTTGAATTAATAAAATTTTGAATGAATTACAATTAAAAATTTACACATGAAGTTAAACTAAATCCGACCTTGCTAAAATGCTGATATGGTTTATTAGAAATCTAAGACATGTAAATCTAATCAATTAACCCTTCCAGTGCGAATGGAAAACTTCAATTTATACAATTTTTAAACAGTCCTGCATATGGGTCATTCCATGAGGTTGGGCAAAAAATATGATGATATCCACGTAACGCGGTTACGAGATCTTCTACTACATATATATGGAAGATGGTTCTTCTTAACATCTTAACATGGTTGGCTATGCCTATGCTCTTTATGTGAAACTCAATTTGAGCAAACATTGTTATGGTTAAAAGGAGACTTAGTTTTTCACTGATATGACACAAAAATTGCCCCAACCCCTTGGAATGACCCATATGCTATTAAGAAGAAAGGGCTTGTCTTTATTGTTGAAATTAAAAATTGGTTCAGAAATTATAAAATTTGATATCGAGGAATAATGTTGTTTGCATAGAGATTAACAACAAAAATATAAAGCACCATGAATAAAGACTTTTCTCATTACAGTCAAATTGTTTAAATTTGTGTAAACTTGACGGCCCCATTAGGCCTATTAAAGGGAAAATGTTTCTTTTTCTGAAATTCACATCACTGACATATTGGAAGGCATTTGAGTAACATAATGAAATCCAAGATAGTGGCCTCAAAAAGATGCGTACACATCGATAATTGAAATGCATTACCAGAAGAAGCAGTTTGTGCGACTAGCATCAACATGTTGATCTGCTCAAGTGAGGGTCACTGGAAACAGCACCCAATGGAGTACACACCATACGAGAGACTACCGGATGTGACAAGGAGCGATGAGCTACAGCTGTTTACCTTGGTCACACCGCAGAACTGACTCCACACCAACCCAAAACCGCCCAGCTTTTGGCCCCTCAGGGTAATGTAATCGTTTGTTCGCTTATGCTTGATGGTGTTAGATAGAGTGTCCTCTACAGGGCTCAGGTTGGACCCTGAACTACATGTACACCTCTTTCGTCTGATGGTGTTGATAGCTTCGACTCTTTCCTGATGTTGTCCTTGTGAAACGGAGTCACACCTTCAAGCTCCCAATGGTATGATCATACAAGTTCTTCAGGGATATTGCCTTGGTGCAGCGTAAGGACACGCTAAACTGTAGCTACATGTATATGCTTTCCATGGTATGCTTATAAGGTTTTATTGTCTTTTAAGTCTTTGAGGATGTTGTTTTGTGGCTTTTTTAAGCTACCAAAGCTATAGAAGTGTTTCAGATCTTCAGGTTACTGTCTTTTTTTTATCATAGGATTGGTCCAGAACTGTATCTACAAGGCCCCTGCTGTAAGGTAATGCTTATATTCTTCAGTGACATTATCCTTGTACAGCAGAACAACACGAGCTACAAGCTTGAGTTCTTTAATACGGATATTCTTGCAAAACCGAGTCGCACCTACAGACTCCCAAAGGTATGGTGATGCTTCAGTCCTTCGGGGACGTTGTCCTTGTACAGCAGAGCATAATCCCTGAAAAGGAGCTACAAGATTTAGTTCTTTAACAGGGATACTGTTCTTGCAAAACTGAGTCGCACCTACAAACTCCCAATGGTATGGTAACGCTTCAGTTCTTCGGGGACGTTGTCCTTGTACAGCAGAGCATAATCCCTGAAAAGGAGCTACAAGATTTAGTTCTTTAACAGGGATACTGTTCTTGCAAAACTGAGTCGCACCTACAAACTCCCAATGGTATGGTGATGCTTCAGTTCTCCGGGGACGTTGTCCTTGTACAGCAGAGCATAATCCCTGAAAAGGAGCTACAAGATTTAGTTCTTTAACAGGGATACTGTTCTTGCAAAACCGAGTCGCACCTACAAACTCCCAATGGTATGGTAACGCTTCAGATCTTCGGGGACGTTGTCCTTGTACAGCAGAGCATAATCCCTGAAAAGGAGCTACAAGATTTAGTTCTTTAACAGGGATACTGTTCTTGCAAAACTGAGTCGCACCTACAAACTCCCAATGGTATGGTAACGCTTCAGTTCTTTGGGGACGTTGTCCTTTTACAGCAGAGCATAATCCCTGAAAAGGAGCTACAAGATTTAGTTCTTTAACAGGGATACTGTTCTTGCAAAACTGAGTCGCACCTACAAACTCCCAATGGTATGGTAATGCTTCAGTTCTCCGGGGACGTTGTCCTTGAAAGGTATTGATAGCTTTGACTCTATCATGACTTTGTCCTTGTAAAACTGAGTTGGACCTTCCAGCTCTCTCTGAACTGCAGCTTCAAACTTGAGTTCTTTAATACGGATATTGTTCTTGTCAAATCTGAGAAGCACCTACAAACTCCCAATGGTATGGTAACGCTTCAGTTCTTCGGGAACATTGTCCTTGTAGAGCACCGGGTCCGCCCTGAACTGGACAGTCTTCAGAGGCATCATGCCGTATTCTTTCTCAAACTCCATGATGCACTCTGACCTCTCCACCATGTGATTGAGATCAGCCGAGATCATCTCAACGCTGGTGCACTCCGGACACTTGAACTTCTTCCTTGGAGTGACCTAAATATGGAGAAAATAAAATAAAAGCCTGACTAAGCATCACCAATTCAAAATTTGTCTTAAGACACATTTATTCAAGATTGTATTTGATGATTAATTTACTCTGTTCACATTGATGTGTATTTCATATGTATTGTAATTTGTAGGTTTATTTGCACTTTTTTGTTTTGTTTAATATGCCATTGTTTATCAGTCTACTTTGTTCACAGTTTGCTATAGCGCTTAGAGACTTTGGTGGTAAGCGCTTTATAAGCAACATTTTTATTATTATTATGTATTATTGTGGAGGTGCGATGGCTCAGTGGTAGAGCAGTGGTCTCGGAACTAGGCTATCCCGGGCTCAAAACCAAGTCGATGTGTTAGTAGTAGCCCTTGGAGAGGACTTAAAGCCATCACTCCCTAAGTTGTTTACTTGTAATAGCAGTCGGGTAAAACAAATCACCATCAAAGCATCTAAGAGTAGGTATGTACATGTATATTGTCTACTTTAAAGGACCATTATTTCAATGGAATACAATTTGGTGATATGTCCATTTTCCAAGAGTGCTAAAGACATGTCAAACTTGAAGCCTGTATTCTACTCTGAAAGCAACACTGGCTTTAGGCTCTGTTTAAAGTCAAGTTTAACAAAGAAAGACAGACAACAGTCAAAGTTTTATCTTTGTTTTACATGAAAGGTCACATACTAAGCCCTCACAGTGCCACCAGATCTTAAGTGTTTAAAAAGCAGTATACACACAATTTAAACTACTTTCCAATACAAATCAAACTTGTATTAAAGTAATTGGGCTATCCAAATGCTCATTCAATTAGAGACGAGCGTAATCCAAGGATGCCAGTTCGAATTGAACAGAGGACCTGAAAATCTTCTAGAATGGGCTATTTAGTACACAAAAAAGCCTTAAGCATGGCCTGAAAATAAATCGCCAGGGCATGAATTCAGGCTTTTGACTGAAAACTGGCATCCCTGGTAATCAAATTCCTGGTGAGAAGCCTGCTTGGCCTTCTAGGATCTTACCTTGATGGGTGCCTTTCCTGTGATGTTAGCGATGAGGAAGTTCATAGCGATGTCTTCACAGTTCATATGGTCATCCACCCAGGTCTTGATGTGCGGCGTCATCTTATGGGTGTAGGCGTAACTGAAATACTGCGATTTAAAAATGGAAAATTAATAATAATAATAATAATAATAGCTAGTTTTTATATAGCACTTTTCACGACTGCAGGCCCTCTCAAAGCGCTTTACAAATATATATTATTACCCCGGTCATCGGATTCAGGCTTACCCGCCACATTGATGCACATTCTCCACTCCCTGGGGAGCATTCCAGCCAGGCGTCATTTTTACAAGCGCACACTTGCTAATCTAAGCACATTACCTAGAATTACAGATTTCTACCATCTGCCAACCAGTACGATTTAGTCGTATTTAGTACGATTTTTAAAAGCAAATACGACAGTACGATTTTCCTCAATAAAATATGATTTTTTTTTTTTAATTTTTTTTTAATTTTTTTTTTTTGTGGTGGTATTTTGTGTGTGTGTGTGCCATTTTCAATGGCAAAATGCCCATTCTGTCCTATAAAGCATCTCACATCGGCAATTTGGGGATGTTCATTGGGTCATCGAAATCATCAGTCGTGACGAAATCATGCATATTCAACCAACGATCCATAAAAAAAAATTCTTCCTTATGTAGGAACTGTAAGAGGCATTGATCCGCGTAACAGTCTGTGTTTATTTTTAAGAATACAACTTTTGTCAGCAAAATACAACTTTTGGGATTAAAGAATACAGTTTTTGAACTCCAGAGGTTGGCAGGTCTGCCTTCCCCTCTCCCTCTCCCTTTCCTCTCTCCCCCTTTAAATAACCCAACATATATCTCTTACCTTATGGTAAAATGCAGCACCAGTGAACACCATCGAGTGGTCATCATCCCCCCCCCCAAAAAAAAAAAAAAAAAAAAAAAACTTGCTTTCCCCTCTCTCTCTTCCCTTTCAAAATCCCAACATACAGCATCTCTTACCTTATGGTAGAACGCAGCACCTGTGAGTACCATCGAGTGGTCGTTCATCCACTCACTCTCGTACTTCCATTTGCCCTGGGCTTCATCCCATAGATGGAGACGACTTGGGAAGCCCACAAGACGATCAGGAAACTCTCTCCAAACCTGTATTACAAATCAGTGAAAGGATACTATACTATGATGACTTTAGTTTAATACTGTTTAAATCCCCACTGCACTACTTATAGCTACTTGAGCCCTCTATATAGGAAACAATGCCTAATCAGTGCCTGTTGGTCCCCCATGATCCCCTTTTTCTTATGTTAATTGAGAGCTGATTTGATAAGATAACTACCTGTCAGTGACCTTGCAGGGAGGTCTAATTCCCCCGGCCAAACTAGTACAGACGGGCTTTGAATAAATGAAATTAAAATTATTGAAATAAGGCAAAAACACAAACAAAAATGACATATTGTGTAATCCCAGATGCCTTGCACAGCAATTAATTAATGTATATCCCCAAAGTATATTCATAATAGATAGGAAATTCAAGAACTCTCTGTTTTAATGACAAAAAGGGAACATAAACAAAGATAGATTCTTACCCCATAACCAAACTCCAGCTCATCCGGCGTCAACATAACAATATCATCATCGATGGCCAGAATGCACTCGGTCTCAATCTCGTCGTAAGGATAGAATCGGTTGCTGAGTTTGTTCTCTTTTGTCTGCACTACCTTCAGAGGTTTGTTGATCTTGGGCCATCTATCAGCTACAGGAAAGAAGCAATGAATGTGGGATTATGTAGTATTTAAAACTGAAAGAAACCAACAACCTAATCAGCGAGTAGTTTTCAAAATGTTCTGTTTAATAGATAATACAGGGAAGTCTGAAAAAACAAGACCTGATGTTTGGATAACTCGCTGGAATGAAATAAATCCTACTCCCACAACTTTACATGTACAAGTACAATATACGCTTTCTCTGCAGATGTGGAGAATTTTCACACTTCAGATTCAACACCGTAGATATCATGCGTACGGCTTACATACATACGTGAAAATGTGGATACTACTGTCTGACTGAGTGGTTTCTTGATGATTCCAGACAACCAATACCTCGAAGAGACTCGGTGTCTGCGAGATTTGCTTGATGATATCATAAACCTATCTAATGTTTCTATCTTCTATTTATCCATCCAACTATCTATTCATCCCTCCATCTATTAATCCATCTATCTCTCAAGAAAATCATCATCCCTACTTACTTGGGGGAGGTGTCTTTTCTTGATGATTCCAGACAACCAGAACTTTGGAGAGACTCGGTGTCTGCGAGATTTGCTTGATGATATCATCAACCTATCTATTGTATCTATCTCCTATTTATCAATCCAACTATCCATCCATCCCTCCATCTATTAATCCATCTATCTCTCAAGACAACTATCATCACTACTTACCCGGTGGAGGTGTCTTTTCTTGATGATTCCAGATGACCAATACCTTGGAGAGACTTGGTGTCTGCGAGATTTGCTTGGTGATATCATTAACCTATCTTTTTTTCTTTCTATCTCCTATTTATCCATCCAACTATCTATTCTTCCCTCCATCCATCTATCCATCCATCCCTCCATCCATTAATTCATCTATCTCTCAAGACAACTATCATCACTACTTACCTGGTGGAGGGGTCTTCTCTTGGTGATTCCAGACAACCAATACCTTGGAGAGACTCGGTGTCTGCGAGATTCGCTTGATGATCTCAAAGAGACTCTGTTCCCTGTCGTAGGTCAGGACGACAGCAGTGAAGCCATGTGACTTGGGCGGGATGATGGGAAGGAACAGAGGATTCTGGGCACCTCTCTAATAGAAAGATAGGAAATATAAACTTCTATGAGATGTTGGTGGTTGGTATACAAATAATACACATCAGTGAGGGCATTAGTAAGAATTACCCACACGAGGTACCTTTGGAACAGTCTAACAGTCTAATTATGATTTATTTGTTTTATAAAAATGATGTTTTCTAACATGATTTTGGTAATGACCGGTCATTACCTTTGGATAATGACCGGTCATTACCCAAATTAAGCGCGATTAAGCACGTCATCATCTTATAATTTGTTTTACCTGACTGCTAAGAAAGCAACCAGGGGTTTAAGTCCTCTCTGATGGACTTGGTAATGAGGATTAATGCCTTACCAAAGGGCACTAGCGCATGGACCTGATTTCGAACCCGGAACCTCCCAGTTACAAGACCACTGCTCTACCACTGAGCCATCACGCCTCCATGAGTCGTGATATAACTGTATAATTGTATTATAAAGTTTTTATTTTAACCAAAATGGTTCAATAATACATGAACCGTAAACAGAATTATTGTGTGATGATCCAGCACACATTTGGTAAATGGAGCCAGCAAAAAATAACTATTGAAATTGAAGATTGAAATTAGGAATTCCAAATTGTTGAATAGGTGCCAGTACTGTAATGTGATGTTGGAAAAAATCTCCCATTTGCTATTAAATACACAGGCCCGCATTCAACTAAAAATGGTAGTTGAATATGTTTCTTTAAAACATTGTTAATTGTTAAATTGTTATTCCTCAGATTAAATATCAAACTTGAGAAAGCAGAGCATGTTCTTACTCTCGGGGTCTCCTCGTTCCACCAATCATAGTCCTTTGCCTTGTAAGGGAAGGCGCGATCGTTTATGATCTGTAGCGTCGTCAGCGTGACGTTGGCAATGCTGCTGAAGTAGCGTTGCCATAGAAACCGGACCTGTTGTCTCATCTCGTAGATGTGCTCTAGCTCCACGGCATGCAGGATGTCGGGAAGATCCGGGATGCGATCCTCTCGGACCACCAGCGACGCCCTAGGGGTCAAGAATGATAACAATAATGAAACTTGCTTAGACTTCAAGATAGTTTTAATGATAACAGTGGGTTCTTGTATTATATAGCTCTTATGTCTTTTTAGATTTGACACTCAGGATACAACTCAGTACAGGTACTAGTCATGCAAGTACAAAAAACATTGATCGTCTAAGGTAGATTACTAGTATGAGTTTATTGGACATCTCTTTCTTTTCTTTCTTTTTTTCAATCTTCTCCTCCTGCTTTCAGAGATGACCATTAGGATAAGAAACATCTCTATTTAAAGGTAAAGACCAGTATTGGAAATGCCCCAATTTCAAAAAATGAAATGGAAGCTCTCATTACCAATCATGTGAAAGAATATGTTTTGACTAATACATGATGATAACAAATTTGCCGGGAAACCGCCTACTAATTCATATATTTGGTAAATTTGTTTCTCTTATGGTCTGTGAGAGATATAGGGTAGTCCCATATATATCTTTCTGTGTATAGTGCTTGTAACTTTACGAAGAATGGGCCAAATTTCTTATCATTTTGATGATTCCAGAACCTTGCAGATGCTAAATGCCAGATGATTAACCTTTTCTGATCGATTCCACAACGTTTCGTTCACAATGCAATCGCATGACCATAACTGGTCTTTACCTTTAATACTGACACCACAAGTACATGTACTTTCTGTTCATTGAACCAGTAAACAGATAAGTGATAGGGCTTTTCAGTTATTGACCCCAAAACCTGGAACTCATACCCCCTGTACTAAAGTATTGCCATACTCACACAGCTTTCAAATGGTGTCTGAAAACACATCTTTTCTAATTTGTTGTAATACTCCTCTCTGTTTATAATCAATGTAAGCTTTGTACGATAATGTTCTCTCTCTCTGTTTGTTTGTATTTCTTGTTTATGTGCTTTGTATCTAACGAAAATGCGCTTTATAAATGTAATATTTTTATCATTATTATAACAGGAAGGGCTTCAGAGGGGGATGCTTCAGTCTTCCATAAAACAAAAACCAAATTCTTTTGAAAAGGATAATTAAGTTTCGTACCTTTTCCAGTCGATGACTTCGGAGAAAGGCAAGATGTAGGCATCGCTGATGATGACTGGGATACAACCGGCTTGGAGTGCGTCACTCAGGGCTGCTTGCCCAAGGCGGGTCCGACGTAGCACAATACAAAACGTAGCATCCTAGAGCAAAAACGAAAGTATTTGATTGATTAAGAAAAAGGAGCAAGGATTTGATTGTTCTGAAAATAACATGAATTATACACAGTGTGTAAAAACACAAAGCTGAAAAAATAAATATCAAGGAAAAAAAATATGGGTAAATTACGCAAAGATAACACTTCTAGCAATCATTCAGAAACAAAAAAAGAGAGTTTTATGAAAGGTATTTGTCTATGCATCTAATGAATTGTTTATCATTGTTGAGTCATCATTAGAAAGCCTGGTTTTTTCCTGCTCCAGTGATGTCACATTTGTAATAACAGATTAGCTTTTCCCTTTCACTGAACATTATCATTGATCTAATCATTGGCGATTTATTATATGAATTTCAGATTTGGAAGTTTGGCCTGGTAGAATAAAGAGTAAGACCCCGTTCTCACTCACTTTGAAAGTGGTCTTAGTTAGACCGCTCCAGACCGCTCCAGACCGCTCCAGAGGAACAGGTCTTGAGGAACGGTTTGCGAGCGTTCACACTCCGAGTTTTTATGGCTCAAACCGCTCCACGAGTCAAAGTGGTCTTGTTGCTATGGCAGCTCAGGTAGGCGGGTCAATTTTTTCGCGCGCGGAATCCAAACCCTATGTCACCTGATGTCCCGTTCGCGACGCGTCCCGTATGTATATGTTTAGTGCCTGCCCGATCGCTCATCACGCGGAACGTCACTTACGTTCAAAGTACGCTTTCCGTTCACATTGCACGTTAGAGCGCTCTGGAGCGCTCTTAATAAGACCAGCTCCTCAAGACCACCTCGGAAGGTGGACTTCTGGAGCGGTCCAGAAGTCCGCTTCCTGGACCACTTTGAGCGTTCTCACTCACCTAAGAACCGCTCCTGAGGAGCGGGTCTTAGTTAGAGCGCTCCAGAGCGCTCCAACGAAGTGAGTGAGAACGGGGTCTAAGAGTTGCAAGTAATCGTTTCTCCAATGATCAATTTTAACTTCACAATGAATAGTTAGTTATGATTACTTTTATGTTAATGACACCATAATTAAAATAGCTGGAAGCTATGTTTCAGAGTACCGTAATTAACGTTGTATTAACCACACTTTTTTGCCGCCGAAAAAAATTCAAAAGTCGGGGGTGCGTCTTATACACAGTTTTAAAGTTTCGATTTATGCCCCTCCACCTGGCACTATGCCTGGCAATGTCTCCCAGCTCACTAATCGGTGTGTTGACTCACCACTCGGAAACTAGAACACTCAAATTTGTCTGTCATCTTGGTTTGAAAGTAATCTTTCTGATAGATCTCAATATGTACCGGTAGTTTATAATAATAATTCCTCCAATTTGTCTTCTACTACACACGGCATACCACAAGGTTCTATCCTAGGTCCTCTACTGTTTTTTAATTTACTTTAATGATCTTACACATTCAACTGCACCTCGCAGTTAAATGAAAGGGCTTCCCATATTTTTTAACACGGACCTGGCTTGCTGCCGACAAAGTCGGCAACCAAAAAAAAAAAAATTTAGGGCGAAAAAGAGGGGTACGGTTAAATACACGAGGGCGGTTTATAAAACGTTAATTACGGTACAAGAATTAACCAGGATTGCCATCTCACCTGTAGTATATGAGGATAGCCGAAGGCTTTGTTGTCCTGGCACCTCTTGAATGGATCCGGGAGACCCTCCTCGGTCTTGCACTCGTCCAGGACCTGGAAGTCTGGGTTGGTGCTCGCTATGGTCAGGAGCTGAGCCTGGTAGTCAGGGTGGATACCGGCTTGGGTGGAGACGGCTAAATAGGGGCGCACCGTGCTGAGGTGGGGGGGGGGGTGACAAAGAGCAGAGGATTGAAAATAGGTGCCCCGACGTTTGCTGTGGCGACAATTGCTCCAGGCTTTCGCCATAGCAAATTAAAATTGTACGGAATAAACACTTTATCATTTGTACTTGCGCAGATGCATTTCTAAACTACAAGTGTTGTGCATAAATTAACCAATGATTTGTCCAAGTTTAGATTAGTTACAACGATTAACATGTTTTTTTACTTACATCTTATAACAGTTAAAAAAGCTTTCAGAATACCACCCCAGCAGCTCAAGAGGAGCTAGTCACTTTCCACAGTAATAACAGATAAACAAAGTCCTACCACCTCTCTCCAACCAGCGCTATAGTTCTCCTTAGAACTATAAGCTAAGAAAGATAACCAACAGTCTTTTTCAGGACTACACACACTCAAAAAAGAAAGATTACCTAGAGTCCTTTTCAGGTCTCCCTAACCCTCTCTCCATCTCTCTCACATGGTGTAACCGCAAGCCTTCTGTATATATTTACATCACCATGCAAGCCGATACTTATAAGCAGCATAAACAAAGTCATTATATATTAAGGCTGTGCATAACCGTGTAATGAGGTACTCGAGTACACTCCCAGGCTTACAGGCGAATACTTGAATACTCAACGGCCATTTTTTTTCTTCATTTAAAAAAAATTAAAATGGGGGCCGTGTATTCGAGTAAGAGAAATTGTACTTGAGTAGTTGTCGACAGAGCAAGTACTCAAGTATTCGTGTACTCATCGCAGCCTTATTATACATTATATTTAACAACTGTATGGGTGACTCACTCAAAAGGCCTTTCGCTCATTTTGACAGAGGATATGGTGGTGCTGAAAACTGGTATACTGACATCATAGCCAGGCCTATAGGTCCAAGATGTGTTACAATGATTAACATGTTCTACACTAATATAAAAGTTAACAGAGTTATCAGAAAACCACCCCAGCAGCTTAGGCGGAGCTGGTCACTTCACAAAGTAATAATGAATTAACAAAGTCAATAGACATTATATATAACAACTGTGTGAGTGACTCACTCAAAAGGCCTCTCGTTCATTTTGACGGAGGAGATGGTGGTACTGAAGACTGGTATACTGACATCGTAGCCGGGCCTGTAGCTCCAGGAGGAGAACCCCCCACCAGCCAGGATGGCATTGCCCCTGGGAACATCCAGGGCCGTGTGGAAGTCTGGTATGGTCCCTGGGAGCATGTTGAAGAGCAGGTGGTTGGTACCTCCGTTCCATCTACACAAGACAAACAGTTTGATTACTAATTAGTAAATACCATGTGAGAAACACTGTGGTATATGTAGTGGAGTCTCTTGATCATCCATCTGATTCTTTCCCAGTCCCCCTCCCCCCCCCCTCCCCCATCTCTCTATCTCTCTCTTTCTCTCTCTCCATCTCCATCTTCATCTCTATTTCTCTCCCTCTCTCTCTTTCTCTCTTCGTCTTCATCTCTCTCTATCTCTCTCTCTTTCTCTCTCTCCATCTCTATCTCTCTCCCTCTCCATTTCTCTCTTCATCACCATCTCTATTTATCTCCATCTTTCTCTCTTCATCTTCATCTCTCTTCATCTCCATCTCTCTCTCTCTCCACCTTCATCACCATCTCTATTTCTATCTTCATCTTCATTTTCATATCCATCACCATCTCTATCTTTCTCTCTTCATCTTCCAGGGGTGATAGTGAGCACTAAAAAAAAAATAGGTTTTTTGTTTTCCCCTCAACTACGCCCCCCCCCCCCCCCTTGAGTAAAAAAAAAGAAGAGGATTCGCGGGGGGAAAATGGCATCTAACAAAATTCCCCCCTTTCGAGTAAGAGAGTTGGGAAAAAATAGGGCAAAATAGAGAAGACTAGAGAAAATAAGGGGGGAATCGGAAAAAAACGGATAAAATAGGGAAGAAAAAAAAAATCTGGTAAAAAAAAAAAAAAAAAAAAAAAAAAAAAATTAAATCGGGAAGAAGAAAAAAAAATCGGGAAAAAATCGGGAAAAATAAAAAAAAATCGGGAAACCGATTTAAATCGGGTTTTTATCAGGCCTGATCTTCATCTTCATCTCTCTCCCTCTCTCTATCTCTTTCTCTCTTCATCTTCATATCCATCTCCCTCTCTATCCCTCTCCCTCACTCTATTTCTCTCTTCATCGCCATCTCCAACTCCATATCAATCTCTCTCTTTCCCCTCTCTCTCTTTCTCTCTCCATCTCTCTAGCACCACCCAAGATGTATGGACCTACCTTGGTAGCCGATTCAAGACTTGTCCCATCTCCTTCACTCTCATCGTGTTCTGGTTCAGCAGGTCGATGGACGGAACAAGCAGACACGCCTGGTCCGCATTCGACGTGTAGAACGGGCTGTTTGCGATGGCGTTGAGAACCTCGTAGAACTCCCTCGAAATCTGGCCCGTTATGGGCACCCCACCCTCGTCCACATACTTCTTCATGGGGTAGATATAAACACTGATTCTGTTGGTCTCCGAACCACATCGGTAGACGTCAAAACAGTCATGGTAGTGGCACTCCTGCACGGTCTTTGCCCCCAGCGGTGCCCCTTCCGAGACCTTCACCTCCGGCAGGTTTTTGTAGCTTTCAATATGATACCTCGGCTGCTTCTCCGACTCGATGGAATGGGGCCAGAACTGGAAGACGCCGGTCACGATGATTCCAGCAAGGATGACCGAGAAAAGAGCGAGGTAGAATGAGTGGTATTTGGGCCTGAGCTTCGGCCCCCGTGCCTTCTTCATCTTGCTGGGAGAATTAGATCGGTGAACAAGCCGAGCGCGAAACAGGCATCGATCACCACACTACCATTTTCCTGTAAAAAGAAAAGATAGAAACCAGAAGAATGAAAAACCTTTCTGATGGGTCTTACGATATGATATCAATTTTCCTTATGATGATACCCATAGGTCTAGGCCTAGTGGATTTCATTTTGAAATTGAAATTTGAAGTTTAGAGTAAAGGAGCCCGTTTTCGGCCACTTAAGACAAAATCCTATTTTTAGGACTCTTTACTTCCTATTTATTATCATTTCTTGTTCAAATCATGAAGCAAATATTATTATTATTTAAACAAAAAAAGAATCCCAGAAAAAAATCACGAATTGCCATGATAATATTCATTTCAATTTTCAGTTTTGGAGCCAGTTATCGGCCGAGCGTTTCAGTTTACGGCCGCATGTACAAAGTCAATAGGAAGCGCTCGCGCGCGCCGTGCGTTTCCGCGCTGATGTACAGCACAAGCGGGCGGAGCAGGTATCCCACGCCGGAGCTCCCTGGTGCTCGCCTGGCCGAAGACAGGCACAGCGGTGATCGGAAGTTGGAATCTGAATTAGACAGAGATATCGTGTGTGCGTCGCGGTGTGCGGCTGCATTGATTTAATACATGCGATGAGATACTTTTGAGCTTGCGACTAGCACAAAATCGGGCTCTAAATCTGAAAAATACTTGAAATAAAGCACATTTTATGGTACCCATATTTCTTACAGACACGCGTAAGATACTCGATTTTTCAGATTTGGGTAGCGGGACCGGCGATTACATCGCTAAAATGTGATATTTTAGGATATATTTTCCATTGCAAATGTGGTTCTTCAGTGACACTGGCATGGTATGGTATGTGTGGGATATGTGTTATGCTATTATGCGATGTATTTTAGAGTGATTTTACCTTGCATCCAACCAATCGGCCGAAAACTGGAGCTGGCCGATTACCGGCTCCTTTAGCTTTACTCTAGATCTAGAGGTCTAAATAAAAATATTAAAATCAAAGGACAAAGATCATTCCTAAAATCTAAACTTTATGATTTACATTCAAATAATAGGGTTTTATATAAATGTCTACTATTTTTTGGGCAGTAATATAGGCCTAATCAATTTCCAGCAAGAAATGTCCTCTTCTTCCACAAAACAAACCAACAAACACACCAAACTACACACGGGACTACGCGGCGCTTTGTCATACGAGATCCAATGCACTCTCCATTTTCAAGTTGGCTCGGCCTTTACCGATTTTTAAAGCCAATTATTCATGGACATATCACTTTGAATGTGGGATTTTCAACTACATGTACTCACCTTGTACTGTTAATCAACTAATATGCATCGCTATTGATGCCTAAAGTCGAGGAATCAAGTAGTTTGTCGACGTGTTTTTGTTATGATATCCGGTAAATTGTAATCCCCAACCGACGTTAGATGGCGCTCTACACATTTTGCATTCGTACCGTACGTACGTTTGCGCTTGCATGCAAAGCTGAGATTCGGATCAGAAACGTTCTCTCTTCACCTCCCTCCCTCTCTCTCCCTCCCTCCCTCCCTCCCTCCCTCCCTCCCTCCCTCCCTCCCTCCCTCCCTCCCTCCCTCCCTCCCTCCCTCCCTCCCTCCTTTGCTTTGGGCAACACATTTACCAAATTAAAAAAAAAAGCAACACATTTACCATTTTGGCAACAACTTTACCAAGAATTGGCAACAAGTGGCAAAAATTGGCAACAACATTTCATGAGAAATTCCCCCCCCCCCATCTCCCTCAATCCCTTCGTCCCTTGCTTTGGGCAACACATTTATCAAATTGGTTTTTTAAAAAGCAACACATTTAGCATTATGGCAACAACTTGACCAATCACAGGCAACAACTTTACCAAGAAATGGCAACAAGTTTACATGTCATGGGAAATCCCTCCCTCCCTCCCTGGCTTTGGGCAACAAATTTACCAAATTGGTTTTTAAAAAAGCAACACATTTACCATTTTGGCAACAACTTTACAAATCATAGGCAACAAATTTACAAAGAATTGGCAACAAGTTTACATGTCATGGGAAATCCCTCCCTCCCTCCCTTGCTTTGGGCAACACATTTACCAAATTGTTTTTAAAAAAGCAACACATTTACCATTTTGGCAACAACTTTACCTATCACAGGCAACAACTTTACCAAGAAATGGCAACAAGTTTACATGTCATGAGAAATCCCTCCCCTCCCACCCTCCCTCCGTCCCTCCCTCACTTTGGGCAACACATTTACCAGTTTTTTTTTTTTTAAAGAAACACATTTACAATTTTGGCAACATTTTTACCAATCACAGGCAACAACTTTACCAAGAATTGGCAACAACTTTACATGGGAAATCCCTCTCTCCCCTCCCTCCATCCCTCCCATGCTTAGGGCAACACATTTACACAATTGGTTAAAAAAAGCAGCACATTTACCATTTTGGCAACAACTTGACCAATCACAGGCAACAACTTTACCAAGAAATGGCAACAATTTTATATGTCATTGGAAAACCCTCCCTCCCTCGCTTTGGGCAACACATTTACAATTTTGTCAACATCTTTACAAATCATAGGCAACAAATTTACAAAGAATTGGCAACAAGTTTACATGTCATGGGAAATCCCTCCCTCCCTCGGCCTTGCTTTGGGCAACACAATTACCAAATTGGTTTTTGGAAAAGCAGCACGTTTTTTTTTTAAGCAGCACATTTACCATATTGGCAACAACTTTACCAATCACAGGCAACAACTTTACCAAGAATCGGCAACAAGCTTACATGGGAAATCCCCCCTCCCCCCCCCCCCTTCCTCCCCCTCCCTCCCTCCCTCACTCCCTCACTCCCTCACTCCCTCCCTCCATTCCTCCCTTGCTTAGGGCAACACATTTACCAAATTGCTTAGGGCAACACATTTACCAAATTGGTTTTTAAAAAAGCAGCACATTTACCATTTTGGCAACAACTTTACAAATCATAGGCAACAAATTTACAAAGAATTGGCAACAAGTTTACATGTCATGGGAAATCCCTCCCTCCCTCCCTTGCTTTGGGCAACACATTTACCAAATTGGTTTTTAAAAAAGCAACACATTTACCATTTTGGCAACAACTTTACCAATCACAGGCAACAACTTTACCAAGAAATGGCAACAAGTGGCAAAAATTGGCAACAACATTTCATGAGAAATTCCCCCCCCCCCCCCATCTCCCTCAATCCCTTCGTCCCTTGCTTTGGGCAACACATTTATCAAATTGGTTTTTTAAAAAGCAACACATTTAGCATTATGGCAACAACTTGACCAATCACAGGCAACAACTTTACCAAGAAATGGCAACAAGTTTACATGTCATGGGAAATCCCTCCCTCCCTCCCTGGCTTTGGGCAACAAATTTACCAAATTGGTTTTTAAAAAAGCAACACATTTACCATTTTGGCAACAACTTTACAAATCATAGGCAACAAATTTACAAAGAATTGGCAACAAGTTTACATGTCATGGGAAATCCCTCCCTCCCTCCCTTGCTTTGGGCAACACATTTACCAAATTGTTTTTAAAAAAGCAACACATTTACCATTTTGGCAACAACTTTACCTATCACAGGCAACAACTTTACCAAGAAATGGCAACAAGTTTACATGTCATGAGAAATCCCTCCCCTCCCACCCTCCCTCCGTCCCTCCCTCACTTTGGGCAACACATTTACCAGTTTTTTTTTCTTTAAAGAAACACATTTACAATTTTGGCAACATTTTTACCAATCACAGGCAACAACTTTACCAAGAATTGGCAACAACTTTACATGGGAAATCCCTCTCTCCCCTCCCTCCATCCCTCCCATGCTTAGGGCAACACATTTACACAATTGGTTAAAAAAAGCAGCACATTTACCATTTTGGCAACAACTTGACCAATCACAGGCAACAACTTTACCAAGAAATGGCAACAATTTTATATGTCATTGGAAAACCCTCCCTCCCTCGCTTTGGGCAACACATTTACAATTTTGTCAACATCTTTACAAATCATAGGCAACAAATTTACAAAGAATTGGCAACAAGTTTACATGTCATGGGAAATCCCTCCCTCCCTCGGCCTTGCTTTGGGCAACACAATTACCAAATTGGTTTTTGGAAAAGCAGCACGTTTTTTTTTTAAGCAGCACATTTACCATATTGGCAACAACTTTACCAATCACAGGCAACAACTTTACCAAGAATCGGCAACAAGCTTACATGGGAAATCCCCCCTCCCCCCCCCCCTTCCTCCCCCTCCCTCCCTCCCTCACTCCCTCACTCCCTCACTCCCTCCCTCCATTCCTCCCTTGCTTAGGGCAACACATTTACCAAATTGGTTTTTAAAAAAGCAGCACATTTACCATTTTGGCAACAACTTTACAAATCATAGGCAACAAATTTACAAAGAATTGGCAACAAGTTTACATGTCATGGGAAATCCCTCCCTCCCTCCCTTGCTTTGGGCAACACATTTACCAAATTGGTTTTTAAAAAAGCAACACATTTACCATTTTGGCAACAACTTTACCAATCACAGGCAACAACTTTACCAAGAAATGGCAACAAGTTTACATGTCATGGGAAATCCCTCTCTCCCCCTTGCTTTGGGCAACACATTTATCAAATTGGTTTTTAAAAAAGCAACACATTTACCATTTTGGCAACAACTTTACCAATCACAGGCAACAACTTTACCAAGAAATGGCAACAAGTTTACATGTCATGAGAAATCCCTCCCTCCCTCCCTTGCTTTGGGCAACACATTTATCAAATTGGTTTTTAAAAAAGCAACACATTTACTATTTTGGCAACAACTTTACAAATCATAGGCAACAAATTTACCAAGAATTGGCAACAAGATTACATGTCATGGGAAATCCCTCCCTCCCTCCCTTGTTTTCGGTAACACATTTACCAAATTGGTTTTTAAAAAGCAATATATTTACCATTTTGGCAACTAATTTAGCAATCATAGGCAACAAATTTACCAAGAATTGGCAACAAGTTTACATGTCATGAGAAATCCCTCCCCTCCCACCCTCCCTCCGTCCCTCCCTCACTTTGGGCAACACATTTACCAGTTTTTTTTTTTTAAAGAAACACATTTACAATTTTGGCAACATTTTTACCAATCACAGGCAACAACTTTACCAAGAATTGGCAACAACTTTACATGGGAAATCCCTCTCTCCCCTCCCTCCATCCCTCCCATGCTTAGGGCAACACATTTACACAATTGGTTAAAAAAAAGCAGCACATTTACCATTTTGGCAACAACTTGACCAATCACAGGCAACAACTTTACCAAGAAATGGCAACAATTTTATATGTCATTGGAAAACCCTCCCTCCCTCGCTTTGGGCAACACATTTACAATTTTGTCAACATCTTTACAAATCATAGGCAACAAATTTACAAAGAATTGGCAACAAGTTTACATGTCATGGGAAATCCCTCCCTCCCTCGGCCTTGCTTTGGGCAACACAATTACCAAATTGGTTTTTGGAAAAGCAGCACGTTTTTTTTTTAAGCAGCACATTTACCATATTGGCAACAACTTTACCAATCACAGGCAACAACTTTACCAAGAATCGGCAACAAGCTTACATGGGAAATCCCCCCTCCCCCCCCTTCCTCCCCCTCCCTCCCTCCCTCACTCCCTCACTCCCTCACTCCCTCCCTCCATTCCTCCCTTGCTTAGGGCAACACATTTACCAAATTGCTTAGGGCAACACATTTACCAAATTGGTTTTTAAAAAAGCAGCACATTTACCATTTTGGCAACAACTTTACAAATCATAGGCAACAAATTTACAAAGAATTGGCAACAAGTTTACATGTCATGGGAAATCCCTCCCTCCCTCCCTTGCTTTGGGCAACACATTTACCAAATTGGTTTTTAAAAAAGCAACACATTTACCATTTTGGCAACAACTTTACCAATCACAGGCAACAACTTTACCAAGAAATGGCAACAAGTTTACATGTCATGGGAAATCCCTCTCTCCCCCCTTGCTTTGGGCAACACATTTATCAAATTGGTTTTTAAAAAAGCAACACATTTACCATTTTGGCAACAACTTTACCAATCACAGGCAACAACTTTACCAAGAAATGGCAACAAGTTTACATGTCATGAGAAATCCCTCCCTCCCTCCCTTGCTTTGGGCAACACATTTATCAAATTGGTTTTTAAAAAAGCAACACATTTACTATTTTGGCAACAACTTTACAAATCATAGGCAACAAATTTACCAAGAATTGGCAACAAGATTACATGTCATGGGAAATCCCTCCCTCCCTCCCTTGTTTTCGGTAACACATTTACCAAATTGGTTTTTAAAAAGCAATATATTTACCATTTTGGCAACTAATTTAGCAATCACAGGCAACAACTT